TATATATACACACACACAGAAAAAACAGTTCTGCTGATTGTATGTTAATTACAAGCATTAAATTTTTCAATATAAGTAATAGAAAGGGTATATAAGAGTTAATTATAAAAATAAAAAAAAAGAGATAAATCGAGATATATAATATATCTATTGTAATTAAATTTGAACAATATTATTTTGAATATTATATTATAGCTGAAACATGTAATATTATTATTTGACCTCGAGAGACCTTGAATTGATTTAATTTAATTTAATTTAATTTAATTGCTGAGAACTTTTTTAGGATACCTGTATTATGATATTCTATGTCTGGAGATTTTTAATTTATTCAAAATATATTCTGATTCCTATAGTAAGTTTAATACTTTAATCAAGATTATGAAAACAAATTCGATTTGCTTATAATATAAGGTCACTTCCTCGATAAAATTTTATAATGATTTTAAGGAATACATAAACAAATTCTTGTTTTGTGTACATATATATGATGAGTTTTTCTATATAGTAAGATTAATAGGCATATTTTGAGACTGTTGTTGAGAAAATGTTCTTTTATGTTAAAAAATCATTACTCAAAAGAAAAAAGTAAACTGAGTAATCTCTTTTCTTATTGTTAGCAGAGACTGATATTTAGAATGTATGTATGTATATTTTTCTGTATGTATATTATCTTCTTCTTTTCTTTCGCCAGTTTCTTTGCTTCCTTTTGCCTAGTCTTTTCTTCCTTCTTCGCTTTTTCTCGCTCCTTCTCTTCCCCTTTTTTTTTCTTCGATGCATGTATAGCGTTCAATTTGAATATCCTACTTAATTATTATACTTCAAACGAAATTATTTTCAGATTTGTATCTAACAAAATTTTTAGACACCTTTTCAAAATCATTCTTTCCGTTTAGAGGATCGATGCGTACAGGATGAGTTACTGACATTCATATGATTGCGAAGACAAATAGAACACCGAAAAGAATATCATTCTGTTATCTTTTGAAAATTCCAGCAGCCAGTATCGACTGGTAAATAAATACGGCCTACCGCGAAAACAATTCTCCAAGAAGCGAGTAATAATTAACGCAATTATATATATTCTATTTGTTAATAAGTTCAATGTATGGTTCATTCATGCTTTGAAAAATTATAATAGCTAAATCGTCTTGAACGGTCCGTAACTCGTCCTGATTTCCTCGTCTTATAGATAAGTTCGCGAGAAAGGCGGCGATAGGAAGTAATATATATAAAAAAAGAAACTCTAGAAGCGGCCAAATTTAGTAACCTGTCATATCGAGTTATCGCGGACTAATTTTATTATCGATAAGAAAACTCGAGTATAGTGTATATTAGCATTCAAGTGAATTATTTCAACGTTATATACTTACTACTCATTTTTATTTATTTCAAAATTATTATTTGCAACTTATTTGAGTCATCCTGCCAAAATCTGCCATAATAGTTTTATTTAGTCCGAAGTGATAACCCCTTAGATTAAATAAAGATGCGCAAATGTGTTCTCTTTTAATTATACAAATAATGTAAAGGTTAGGTATACTCAATCCATCGTCAACTCACTTATCGATAATTATTTTCACAGCAGCGTTTAATCGCCAGTAAATTGGAATAATCGATAATCCTATTCCTCTAGTCAATTTAACCTAGTCACGAAATAAAGAAAAAACACTCGTCTGTTGATTCTTTTACCCTCATCGCAATCCCTCATCGTTTTATCTCAGCAGTAAAGGATCATTTGGGGTAAGATGCTTACAAAATGCAGACACGGAATTTTTCTATTTTATATATGTATTTTAGTATATTTAATTTATATATATTTTAATATTAAATACCCCTTCCATCTATCATATGTAGTTGATATATTACATATGTATCTCAAAGGATTTCAAAAACGAATGTGAATGACTTTCGTTCAAAGAAGTACGTGTACAATCGCATACGATGAGGGTAGCGTAACGAGATTTGTTAAAATGTGCGAGAGTATACCTAACATAACGAAATATATAGAGTCTTATATAATATGTATATAATATATATATTTATATATTGTGTATTATATAAGGCTTTATATTTTATCATTTATAAATATATATATTATATATTATAAATATTGGCAGTGAGAAGACATTTTTAAAAGGAAGTGTGTGTCTCGTTACTATTCGTAGAGACTCCCCGTTATAGATTACATACCTTCGGTTTGACTCTTTCTTTCTCTGTTCGACAATTTATATTATAGCTATTAACTTATATGAACGAAGCTATCAGTTAATGAAATCACTATACTGTATGCCGTAAGTAGACTCCTCGTATAGTGTTTTAATTACAGAGTCACATGAGAGTCACATGAGATTACGCGACGATAGCTTTAACGACAAAAACCCCTATGTCATTGACACACACACACACACACACACACACACACACACACACAAAATTTTAGATTCCGCCCTTGATCTTGATTCGCCTTGCAAGCAGCCAAAAATCAAAAGCAATTTTTTACAAAATCTGCACGTCAAAACTAATTGCAAGTCTCGATATCAAAAACATCAATGAGTAGAAAAGTAGTTCTATGCGAGGATCTACCTCCGACAGGTAGGCGACAAGTAGGCTAAAGTAAATTCTATTTATTTTTTCTATATCTTATTTTCAGCGATGCATTTAGCAAATGACGGTTTGATAATAATGACAATACTTCTTTTGTAACCGAAAAAGCGAGAGTAAAATCATTCGGAAACAAGCTTTTTTACGAACTATGATGTCAGAATAGTGGGATGGGGGGAATGAGAAAGTCTCAAATGCCATTTCTTGTCTTTCATTAATTCGTTATATGGAATCGAGCTTGATGCATAGTTCTATCAACAAAAGATAATCAAACATGATTTTAATGAACTGCGATATTAATTATAATGCAGGACACAAGCCTGCCTAAATTTATTTCCATAAGCTTTTATAGTGTCACGCGAATGGAAATTGTAATTAATATGTTTCATTGCTTGAAACTTATTAAATGATACGATTCAATGATTTAGAAATCAGATAGACGCAATAAAAGTAGGAATTAACATTGCCGAAAAAACAATTGCATTTGCATCCATAAAGAATTGAATTTTTAATGTACTAAAAACGATCGTGCACATATCAATAATAATCGATCAATAATAATAATTAATCGATTTTAATTAGCAGTATCGTTTGAATGCATTGCATCGCTCTGACGACTCAATATCAGAGCCACAATGAAATTAATCCGATACTTAATTAGCGTATAATGTTAACCGTCAATTATGCTGCATTGATCTTAACTGTGACGAACCCGACTCGCGCGCATACGGCGTATTCAATAATCAAAATAAATGCATAAATGATGCAGATTCTCGACTTACAAGTATCGCGTAGGATTCTTTCAAATTGAAAGAAAATAATATTGTACATAAAGATGAAAATTAACAAATTTAAACTTAAATTTTGTATTGATTTACTTTCTTTAATTGTTGATACTAATTGTTGATCTATATTATTTTAGTTAAATTAACGAAATATTGAATAAGAGCAGTGGCGATTTATAGAAATGATTGAAATTAACTAAAATTGATATAATTTGATATCATGAATTTTTAATATAGAAAATATTTGAGGAACTTGATATTGATTCTATATAAAACAGAAGAATTTTTTGAAAAATGAGACACATATAGGTAGGTATTCAAGGATCGCGTTATTGTAAAAGGTTATTAAACATTTAAAATTTAGAAACTTTTCCTTACAGTATATAGTACCTTAATGAATGTGAGACTTTCTCAAATCCCGATGGAAACGGGGGGGAGCTGCGAATGTAAAGTGCAATTAGCGTGCGTTTGGAATAGCGAAAGTGCGACGGGACAGTGCGAGGGTGTCTTTGCCACAATAAAGTCAATTTTTAACTTTAAAAAATATCGATGTGGATTTAACACTATGCGGTGTCCACGTAATTCTCTATAAGTGTTAATATCAACACGATGAGAATAGACATTGCATGGTTAAATAATAGGTAAAGGAGAACGTTGTCTTTTGTTAAAAAATTGGCGATTTCGCTTCTTTTTTTAAATTTCTTTTGTAGTAACAACTTTTTTTTTAAAACAAGACCAAATGTGATTTGTAAAATCTAATGCGAAATTAAGGAATGAACAATATCAAAATCATTAATGTATGCCACTATATTAGTAAAATAAAACATTATTTATATCATAGCGTTTATATCATAGCGAATAAGCGTTAACAATTAGAAAACGAGTAGCGTTTTCGGTTCATCTATTATTATGCTGCGAGCTTCTTAGAAATTTTCAGAGGGCGACGTCCTCCTCTATCTTCTCAAATACATACAATGTATCCTCGACTGCATCTCAGATCTCATCGGCTTGCGCTTGACAAATAAGATAAGAGATATTTATTTAAAAAAGAGGCTTAAGCAGTTGATTTTATCGAGTCTATTTTTAGTAGTTTTGTTCAAAGACTGAACAGACGAAGAGAGGAAAAAAAACAAAACTTATAAAAGATTATACATATTACGCGATATGTTGCGACCTATAAGAACTGATAAAAACAACAAATCAAATAAAACGTTATGATGAATGTCAGCTCAACTAGAATTATTTTTCTTATTATCGTACCTTTGTCTCTTTCAGTAAAAGCCAAACGAAAAACTAAAATTAAAATTCAAACTTTATATACATTTTTAATGAAATCGAGAAAATCAGATGATAGTACTGCCACTTATTAGCTTCCCAGCTAATGCTAAATATTCACAGAAAATTCAATTCATATTATTGTGTATTGAATGTTCTGAAACAGTAAAAGAATCGTCA